GGGGGCCCTCGCGAGCCTGGGTCTCGGGCCCGCCCCAGCCCCCGGCCTCGCGCATGCGCGCGGGGCTCCGTGGAGCCTCCCGGTGGCGGAACCGAGGCCGGTTGGAGGGTGTGATGACTGAGGCTGCCAGCGGGCGGCGCTCGCCTAAGGGCGCTGCGCGGGGACGCGCTTTTTTTTTAATGTTTTTATTGATTTCAGAGAGAGGAAGGGAGAGGGAGAGAGAAACATCCACGGTGAGAGTCATGGATCGGCTGCCTCCTGCACGCCCCACGCGCCCGCACCCCGGGCACGTGCCCTGACCGGGAGCCCGGCCGCGACCTCCTGGTTCGTGGGTCCACGCTCAAGCACCGAGCCACGCTGCGGGGCCGCGGGCACATTCTTACCTCCTCGCTGTTCGTTCTCAGATATTGGGGACGGGGCTGGAGCAAAGTGGGGTTCCGAGGTGCAGGTGCAGGCGCAGGGCCCGGGGCAGGCGCAGGGCCCCGGACAGGCGCAGGCGCAGGTGCAGGTNCTCAGATATTGGGGACGGGGCTGGAGCAAAGTGGGGTTCCGAGGTGCAGGCGCAGGGCCCGGGGCAGGCGCAGGGCCCGGGGCAGGCGCAGGCGCAGGTGCAGGTGCAGGCGCAGGTGCAGGTGCAGGTGCAGGCGCAGGGCCCGGGGCAGGCGCAGGCGCAGGTGCAAGCTGTGCGAGGCCCGACTGGGGTCAGAGTCGGAAACACCAGCACGGCCCCTTCCTCGCTGTGTGACTTTGGGCAAAGGGCCGACCCACTCTGAGCTCTGTTTTCTGCCCTGTGATAGAGATGATAGTAGCATCCCCCCTAGGTGGCTGGGAGGTGTAACTAATGGAATACAGTCTCTAGCACAGGACGAAGCCAGCACCTACATCCTGCAGGCTGACCTGCCCGGCCTGAGGCTCCATCATTCGCCGCTCGCCCTCCTTCCACTGTGTCCCCAGGGCCTTCCTAATTCAGCTCTACCTTTCCACCCGCACCTCCCGCTAATACCAGTGTCCACCTTCTTTCACCATCAGGTTGCCTGCCCCCTACCCACTCACCTCTTCCAGTAATCAAGCCTCTTATTAAAAAAAAAAAAAAAAATTTAACCCTCCCCCAAGGATATTTTTACATTGCTTTTCCCAGTGGAAGGGGGGAGAGAGGCACACTGATTGGTTGCCTCCAGCACATGCCCCAACTGGGGCCAGGGACAAGCCTGCAACCAAAGAATGTGCTTTTGGCCGGAATCAAACCCCGGGACCCTTCAGTCTGTGGGCTCTATACTCTAACCGCTGAGCCACACTGGCTGGGGCCCTCTTTTTTATTTTTATTTTATTTTTTTTAATTGATTTGAGTGAGAGGAAGGGAGAGAAACACCGATTTGTTGTGCCACCTAGTTATGTTTCTTGCATGTGCCCTAATGGGGATGGGACCTGCAACCTTGTCCTACTGGGAGGATGCTCCAACCAAGTGGCCGAGCGAGCTATCAGCCAGGGCCCAGGGATCCTTTCCTGACATCTGTTATTTTCTCCAGCTCAACATTCCCTTTTCTTTTGGGGAACTGACACTTGCCCATCCCATGCGACTCTGAAGGAGCTGTGTTCCTCACTCCATAGGGCGGTGGGAAGTCATCGTGGGCATGTGACTCTAGAAGGCCAAACGCATCCCTATCTGGTTGTCCCCAGGGATTGGTCCTAGTTGGTGGGCATGTGACTTGTCAGGGCCAACCAGGATCTCTCTAACCGCGTCGCAGCTGAGAGAGAAAGGGACATTCTTTTGGAGCTCAAGCAGGAACAGGACCCAAGGGCAACTATGGAGAGAGACTGTGGCAGGAGAGGATGAGCCTTTTGTAAAGAGACAGATGAGCAGCCCTGAAACGGGGTGTGAGAGAGAGGCTTGACGTTGCCTGGGCCCCTAGATCCAGCTATGCCTGAAGCTGAGCCTGCCTCTAGTTTCCCCGGTTGCATTAGTCCATGAATTCTCCCCTACCTTTGACTAACCTGCGTATTAGGTGTTTGAGTTGGGCTTCTGTCACTTGCAACTCAGTGTTTATTTGTTTTTTGGGATTTTTTTTTGTTAATACCCACCGGAAGACATTTTTTCCATTGCTTTCGAGAGAGTGGATGGGAGGGAGGGGGAAAGAGAGAGAGAGAAACATTCATGTGAGAGGGACATCGTTTGGTTACCTCCTGCACACACCCCGACCCCAACCCCAAGCGGGGGCGGGGTGGGGATCGAACCTGCAGCCCTTGAGTACCCTTGACTAGGAATTGGACCAGTGACCCTTTCGGTGCGTGGGCTGATGCTCTAACCACTGAACCACCCGGGCCAGGGCAGTGACTGGGCATCTTAAAGAGAGGGAACTGGAGGGGGCTTGGACGGACGCCGGGAAGTGAAACACTACACGGGCTGGTGAGTGTGAAGTGCGTTAGGCCGCTGTGCCCGCTGGCTGGCAGTGACAAGCTAGGCTTCTGAGGCAGCCCCATGCTTCCCGAGGGCTACATATCAGAGGAGTGGCTTTCAGGTCCTTGAGAAAGACACTCTTCAGGTGCAGAAGACACAGATACGTTTCAAAGGGACAGAGGAAGGAGTCACAGGTATAAGCCCTTTTGAGTAAATACTCTGAATATGTGTGGGTTCCATCGTCAGGCGGTGGCCAAAGCCAACAGTAAATTCAGCAGCCCTGAGTTTTCTGGGGCAGGTGCTTTAAGGC